TATGAGCAAGAGCCTGTGGTGATGAAGGAAGAAGTTCAAGCTGCTCTGAAAGAATTGGCAAAAAACAAGACCCTTGGAATTGATGTCATGTCGATTGACATATTTCAACAAACAGATGCAGCCCTGCATGTGCTCACCAAGTTATGCCAAGAAATCTGGAGGACAACCACCTGACCAACTGACTGGAAGAGATCTATTCCCATTCAAAATAAAGGTGACCTGATAGAGTGCAGAAATTATCACACAATATCATTAATACCACATGCAAGCAAGGTTCTCTGAAAATTGTCCAAAAACAACTGGAACATCACATCAAGAGAGAACTGCTAGAAGGCCAAGCTGGGTTTAGAAGAGGCCAGGCCATGGCACTCGGGATATTATAGCTAATGTTACATGGATCTTGGCTGAAAGCAGAGAGTACCAGGGGAAAATCTCTTTGTATTCAATTGGCTCTGAGTCATTCAAGTACATAATCACTCCTTGAAGTAGAGGCAGAGCCCACTCTAATGAGGAGATTGCTCATTGTCTAAAAAGGGGGGAGATGAGCCCTAAAGTCTCTCTAAAAGGGTCAGAGAGAATAAAAATAACACAGCCCCCATCTTCCCAGACCAGAAAGGAGATCAAGAACCCGTAGCCCAGCCCCGTTGTGTCTGTAGAGCCCCACCAACATTAAGAGATCCTTTTATTTGCTGTTGTCTCAGTCATGGCATCAACAATGTGCTTTATTAGGGAAGAAAGCTGGTAAGTGGAGGAGGCAAAGAATATCACCCACAACAAATCTAGATTTTAGCTCAACAGGAGTTCCAAGGCACAACTCCTCAGTCCAGGCTCTGGTTTCAATTCAGCAAGCAGCTTTTCCTTCCATCATGAAAGACAAGAACAACAACAAAAATCCAACTGGGACCAGCACAAACTTAAGAAGCTTCAGATCACGCCTTGCCAGTTTCTCCACAGCAATACCAATTACTCCACCACCAGGATCTTACTTTCAACAGGGTCTTGCCTCCACAAGCCTTGCTTGCCTTCAAGTCTTTCTTGCCTCAAGTCTTGCTTCTCCATGTGAAAACACTGTTTCCTTTAGCCTAGCTCCAGAGCTGATGCTAATTTGCAACACCATGTGCCTGCAGTTAAGGTAGCTGAAGATCAGAGGCTTAATGGCTTTAAAAAAGAAAGCCAACTTTCAGTCTAACACACACCCATCTCTTTCCCAGGAGCCACTGGTAGATTAAAACTACCATAGCAGCATTGCTCTTGGTTTAGTTGTGCAGTCCTGTATGAACTATGCCACAAGTGCTTCTTCCTAGGAAACCGTGTAGGGCAGTTCTTGCGAATGGATTTGTTATGAGTCAGAATCTAAGTGTTCGCATGCAATACAGCTTATTCATGTGTAATATGGGACAATAATAGCTTGAGGAGTTCTGCTGTCCTGTTGGCAAGAAGCTGTGCTGCAATCCTGAAGGCACACAGTTTGAGGCCACTAGCCGCTCTGTGGGAGGATGGACAATCTCCTCCCATGTGATTAACTGCCTCTGAAAGCCTGCCAGCGGGTCAGCTATGGATCAGTTCTGATTCTACGGTACTCAGCAACTACAGCTTGACAATAATATCTACTATGTAGAATTGTTTAGGAAAGGTGGTGATACTAGAAACATTATGAGCAAGGTTAGATGGATCTTAGCTGAAATCAGAGAGTACCACAGAAATGTTGATCTGTGTTTCATTGACTATGTAAATTCATTTGACTATGTGGATCACATAGTTTGTTATGATCTACACAGTCCAGGGCAGCATCTGTTAACTGAAATATGTCAATTGGTATACCATCTATTCCT